GAAAATCAGCCTGTTAATCACTGTGAAAGTTGCAAACTGGTTGAGAACCTTTTAGATGAGCAGACTGTCAGCACCAGCAGCTGCAACAACCAGTGCTGTTAGGCACCAAATGCAAAGAGGTAATTAGGAACCCAATAATCTCCATGCTATTCTAGAAATCACAGTGTTCAGAACCACTTGGAGGAGAATTCAGAGTATCCTGATTGTCCTAGGACCCTACACCAGGAGTATGCATAGGATGGCTGGAAGCACTCCATTAATCCACCTGACTTTTCTTCTGGATTAAATCATCTCTCCTGTGATTATAAACTGCATATACCTCTCATGGAAGTGGTCTGGTATCTGAGTTCATTTTGTATCTTCGCTGTCATCTGGTCTTATGATCTTACTACAATAATAGCAGAGTGGGGCTGCATGCAGGTTAGAGCAGCTGGGGTACAAAAGTGTCCTTACCAATGAGCAGCACAAATGATATCAGATTTGCCCAACTGGTAAAAATCTGTTGGAAGGATGTATCTGTCAGCCAGGGGCCTGCTTCTTCCCACAGCCAAAAGCAGAAAGGCTTCTGTGGGGTCCACGTAACCTAAGCTTCTCTGGATGTACAGAGCCCAAGTGGCACAAGACTTGCAATAGCATGGAAGAAAATCCAGGTGGGCAACACATATTGGAAAAGTATTTAAAGAACCACTTCTTGGAGCAATCTTTCACGTGGGTTCCACCCTCAGCAATTCTTATTTTACAGCAAGAAATGCTTTTTAACTACCACCCAAGGACCACAACTACATAAGCAAGCTTACAAATACCAGCTAGGACAAGAGAAGAACATATTTTCAGAAGAGAAAGCACAGAGCCTATCCCCAGGCTGTGGTGAAATGTGGCAGAGAGAACCAGCAGGGAACTTGATTTTGGGCAAAGCCTGATATAAAATCATTCTGTCCTACCTGTGTGGAAGTATTTTCAAAATAGGGAAAACCTTCATCCTTTAGGCTGACCACTGCCTAGTAAAGCAGTCTCCATTCAAAGGATTGACAGAGTGCTGCCAGAGATATGCTGGCAAAATCATACTGAGACTGCAAGAGGCAGAAACCAGGGAACTCTTGAAAAAGGTCCCAAGAGAATCACATCACTGTAGGATGAAGAGAAAATAGACCATGGAAGTAGGATAACATTAAAATATTTTTGCATACAGATTTCTTACAGGACAGCAAATAGTCCACTCTTGAGAGAAGAAACAGGAGAGAAAAAATCTGCTGATACTTTTTTTTTAAAGGCTTTTCCACTCATCTTTCCAAATCAATCTCATCAAGAGCTCCAAACCTGGCCAAACAACTTCTTCTGATGGATGTCATCAAGCCAGCATTCAGACTGTTGGGTGCAGTGATGTTAGAGCCAGGAAAAAGGTTTGACTTTTATTCTGTAAAAGTGTCTAGAAGTCCTGTTGGGATGGGATAGCAAAGATCTTCAACAGATCTCATTGTATGAGCTGTCCCTCTCATTATACAAATAACACAACTAGCTTGAGTTTCTCCCATCCTGTCAGAAACTTGATAGCATCAAGATGAGTAAATGTACCACATCAAGCCAGGGGATGGGAAAGGCCTCCCAATGGAAAAAGAGATACATTACCCCTCTGAAATGAATGTTTGAAATGTGGAGTTCTGGCATGCAGCAAGCAGATTTATCTCTAGGAATTCCCACTTACAGCATATTCCCCTGGGTGCCCAAGAAGTGCCTGCTGAATTGCCAAGGAGCTCTGAAGGCAGGAACGCACACAGCCTTTGCTGCAGGAGGGTGCCAACTGCACCAATTACAGCAAATAATCATGTTAGATCTTGCCTGGTGAAATAACACATAGCTGCAGTGTAGTTTGTTAGTACTTGTACTTCTGAAAAGGCAGGAATGCTCTGCATGTCACATGGGCAGAGTGTGAGCTTTGTGACCTTCCATGAGCCCCTTGAGGAGGTCTACGTTTAAAGATAATGCAGGTACTTCCACACAGAATGGGAATTATGAAGTAGATATTTGGGCAGAGGAATTACAGATTTGCTGCTGCAGTTAAGAATATTTTTGTGGGAGATACATACACACAACAGGCACTGAAAAAATACTAAGATATCATAGTGTTTTCATAGAGCTTGGGGGAAGTAGATTAGGCTACAAGGCACAAGACATTGCAACTATGCCCTGGGGAAGGGGGTTTTAACACACGTTTGTTGAATAGAGCAACAACAAAGACACAGTTTGGAGTGTCTTTTGGAAGAGAGAGCCCAGGCCAAGCAAAGATCAGCAGTAACCTGATAAGATCTATGCTCCAAGTCAGATGATTTGCCTATTGACTTCAAAACAAAGATCTTTTTAATTACAGTAATTGTCCGCCCTCTAAGTGAATTTCCTTGTAATAAGCCCAGATGTTGAAACATGGACAGACAGGTACCTTTTGCTTCCTTCAAGCAAGCTGCTCTGACTGGAAAACACTTCCTGGATGCTTCTCAGTGTTATGAAAAGACCCAAACAATAGCACAAATGGTATGTTCATAGCAGAAATTTGAGATGGGTGGAAACTGAGTGTATTGGCATGGAATTAAAAAAAAAAAATTCAAAAAGAGTCAAGGTGAATGAAACCAGTTTTAAAACTCTGAGGAACCTCTGAAGGCAAAATCACTAACCTGAATGTGAAATTGCATATGAGGGTGTGAATGTGGCAAAGGTTTACGACAAACCCTTTTGCCTTCAAAATCAGTAATAAGAATAAAACCTTCTATGCTGTAATTAATTACATGGCGCCTAATCCACTACTGCTAGTTCCAGAAAAACAACCCAAAAGGACTGGGTTTTTCTTAATCTTGCATTTCTTTTGGGAAGATTTCTTATAAAGGTTTCAAGAGGACTAGATGGCTGAAGGAGATATCCATTGTAACCCCACAATTTAACAGCAAGCTAAGGCCAAGCTTCCAGAAAAGTAAAAGGCGATTGCCAGTCTAGGGTGAAGGAAAAAACATTAGTTCTGTTAAATACTCACTTTGGTAACAAATATGGTCACGTATAAAAAGCTTCCAATTTTGGAGCAAAGGAAAAGTCTGAGGATTATTTACAGTGGATTTTGTCTTTCTTCCAGTACCTTCAAGGTTCTCAATTAATATAAACATTTAGCAACAAAGACCTGTCTGAAGGGAGACTATTGACACAAACTATTCTTCCTGGTGGTTAAGATCCAGTACTAACATATTGGAATGTTGTAAGGCACGGAAGTCCTCACCCTTCTGCTGCTGAAAAGCTCACTGCTCTCAAACAGAACACTGTAACTATTTCTTAGTCTTCTTCAGGACTGGCTCAAGTCCTGGAGCCCCTATGAACTCTTCCCAGCTATTGAAATGGTTGTGATGCGAGCAGTAAGCACAAGCAAACTGCACTAAGTTACAGTCCATCAGCTGTACCTCTGCATAACGCCCTGGTCTCTTTCAAACCAGAGAAACAGACCATGAACTAGGATGGGCAGTTCCAGCAAGAGAACAATCTGACAGTGAGCCACCCTAATGTGGAGGCCAGCTAATGATTACACCCCCTTGAACCACCAGCTGGTTTCCCTAAGACTTTCTTTACCTATGAGGTCAACAGTTACTTCTATTTCTTAAATTGCATCTTCTGCACATTCCCTCACAGAATTCATCCTGAATGCCTACAGCATATCCAAGAGGAGAATCCCTAGGTGGAAGATGATTCTCCATTATGCATATCAAAAGAAAAGAGCATACTTTCTCCAGAAAAAAAGTCTGCTCTATGAGGTGTTATTGTAAGCTAAGCTGCAATAGTGGTATTTTCAACAGTATCACAGGGTCTCAAAGGAAAAATCCACCCACAACCATTTTGGCACAGATGTCTGGGACACAGCTACTCAGTGTAATAGGAAAGTTTTGTCACTGCACAGGGAATCAGGGAGTAGGCACTCCAAGACAGAAGGTCGTAGGGCTGTGAGCAGAGTAGCCAGAGGCAGAGTTGGTGTGAGGGTGGCCAGCAGGGCAAAATGGTTTCCAGTTTAAAGAAGCCAAGAATATGGTATGCTGGAGACCATTGACTGACATTGCAAAACAGTAAGCATCACTTCATTTAAACAAATATCACTGCCAACAACGTGGAAGTCAGATGACATTTTTGTCCATCTGGTATTTTGCTCAGGGAGCAAAACTGGTATGTCATTTCTTGAGAGCTGTTCCTTCTAGCAGGAGGTGTCTGTGGAGGAGCCATGCTAACATCCAACAGAAAGCTTCCAGGAAGAATTTCAGCATTCTGCAACACTAAGCAAAAAAATGAATTGAAACAGTTCAGATCTATTTCTGGATACTTGAGGATGTTGCCTCACTCTCCTGAGAAAGAGGGGTTCCTGACCCCCTTCTACCATTTGAAGATGTACTAATAGAACAGCCTCTGAACCAAAGTTTTCCTCCAAAGACAAGTGGGAGCTGAGTTTGCACATTATTACCCACAAGGAAAAGTCTCATATGCTGCAAAGCTGGCTCCTAGCACGACCTTTGTAGCCGTGCACAGAGAAAATGAAAAAGAGCATCACTACGCAAACTTGACAGAGACCATGTCAGATGTACTCTGGCTCTAGCAAAGCAAAGCACAAAAGTAAGGCATCTGTTTATCTGCCTTGCTACTGTAGATGGTGGCAAAACTGGTCACAAAATTATGTGCCTGCTCATATTTTAAATCTAGAAATTAAAATATCGGGAAGATATGCATGCACAGAAGGGAGAGACCCCAAGTCCTGTATGATACTACTCTCCATACTTGACATGTAAGAAACCATAGCCCTAGATAGGACCCTGTGTGGAAACTATTATACAAAGGGCAACACCAGAAAGGGACAGGGCAGTCACATGAGTCCCATTTCTAAGGACAACACTCAAAGGGCAAAGCACACCATGCAGGAAGGAATCTCAGAAGAAATTAATAATTCTCCACTGGAGACAACAGACAAGCCCTCCTGACAGGACACCCACCTCTCCGAGAGAAGCAGACGGGGAATTCTTCCTGCTGAGTTTTTCACCTGCAAAGAGGTCTTGGCGGGCTCGACGGCCCATCTTTAGTACCTGTAGTGCAGGGGGAAGCACGAAGGAGCAGAGGACACACAGTTACTCACAAGAGCCGTTTCACCGCAGGGAGCAGAAGGCAAGGCACGGCCCTGCGGCCGCGCCCCGCCCCGCGGCGAGGTGCGGTGCCCTCACAGCGCGCAGCCTCCGCTCGCCGCAGGTGTGAGCCCCGAGCCGCCTCCCGGCCCGCCCAGCCGCGCTGCTCGGCCCGGCTCGGCCCTGTCCGGTCCTTCCCTGCCCCAGGGCAGCCGTGCAGCCGACCCCCCGCCCCCTCCGGGCGGCGACCGGACCGCGGTCCAAGGCCCCGGAGCCCCCGCTCGGCAAGGCTGGGCCCGCTCACCCCGGCGACGCCGCCTCTCCGCGGCGCCTCCGCTCGCTCCGGCTCAGTCTCCATCCGCCGCCGCGGCCGCCGGTGCTTCCGGCGGACAGCCCGCCCCGCCGCCCCGGCAACCGCGGGCACGGCCCCGCCGGGCTCGGCCGGCAGCCCCGCACCGCCCGGCCACCCGCCCCCGCGGGCTAGGCCGAGTGCACGGCGCCTGGCAGCCACAGAAACATCCACCCCCGCAGCAGCCTTAAAACCTTGGCCTGACTGAGGGGGACACCGGTGCTGCAGCACCTCATGCGGGTTCTCAGCCCTTTCTAATTGCACTTGCGGTGTGGCAGGCCGGGAACAGTGTGACGCTCTGCCTTCTCCAGCTTTTTGCCGAAGACACTTTTAAAGTTCCCACTAAGGCAGATAAATCCTAGCCTTACACATCTGTCTCCTGATAGAGGCTTTTGCCAAAGTCTCCTGATGGTTTCTGATGCTCTTCCCAATTCTCCCTGGCTCTCCAACACAGCTTTCCAGATGCGGCAGCCGGTCCCCAGAGCCCACGGTGGAGGCGGTGCCAAGGATCAAATGTAAGCACAACGATCATTACACACATGGCTTCTCAGCCGTGAGTTGTGCAGAGATTTCCACTGAGCTGTATAAAACGACCCCAGTCTGTTTCTTGGCTGAACAGATGTACAGATTAATTGTAAATAAATCTGGTTTTAGCTCCACATGTTTAACAAACATTCTGTTTTCCAGTACTTTGTCCCTTTGCCTATATTTTTTTCTGCTATCTCACATTCCTCACAATTTTCACCCATCCTCATTAGTCTAAATAATTTCTTCTTCTGCTACAATAGAGAACTGTACCACACCACAAACTACGCTGTTAACACTTTGCCATGATGAAAATTGACTCCGTAAGTAAACTTTTAAGCCTCCCAGGAACACCTTTTACTAAAGGCACTAGATTTCACTCTATACCTGCTTAGCTTTTGTAGAAGCTCGTGGTTTGGCTGAGGAACTTTAAGTCATCTAAATAAATTGTATCAAATAATTCTTTTTTCCATTCGGACATGTTGAAGTAGTTGTGCTGTGATGATCTAAGGATTAAGTGAAATAAGATTTGTGGGCAGAGGCAATAACTTTTTATTAGACCAACTGATATAGCTGGAAAAGAAAACATAAGGGTTTCTGTGCCTGAAAGCTTGTGTGTTTTTTCCAGCTGTATCAATTGGCCTAATAAAAGATATTATCTCCCTTTACAAATCTTGACATGTTCAAGGAATTCAGTAAGTGAGATGTGATTTTCCTTTTTTGAAGCCAGGCTCACTGGGCTTTATGAAATTATGATCTTCCATATACTTTGTTCTTCTCTTTTAATTACAGATTCAAGCATTCATGAGCTAGAGAGGGCAGTTTGCACCTAGCCCCATGCTTCGCCACCAGGGCCATGGGAATATCACCCTGCATTTCTCAATTCTCCCCAGCTCCTCCAAACAGCTGCTGCAACAACACAGCTACACAGATGCCAGGAGACAGAGGGGACTGTAGCTGTGGGGTTACAATACACTCACAGCTGACCTTCTGATCCGAAAAAGAGCATCCCAAGAGGAGCATGATAGCATCCAGGGCAATGTCTGCTAAAACAGGAAGGCATCCCTGAGGCAGGAATCCTTGGGTAGGAGTACATTGCCAGCTGTACTCCCACAAAGGTAGCTGGCAGGGTGATCTCCCAGAGCCAGGGCAGAGCCTACAGGGTGTCATCCTGGACAGACAGATCATGAAGCAGCATGACCAGCGCATTCACTTGTTTGGAACTGCCCTCCCCCTCCAAGCTTCTCCTCACAATTCCCCTGGGTCCCCATCCCAGACAGTATACCTGTACTTCTCATTTTCCCCCAAGATACTCTGTGCTGCTTGCTGCCTACCCCAGGGAGAGAAGTCTCAGGCCAGTTGAGGGAGGGTGAAAAAAAACATGTAAAGACTTGGGAAACTGAGCCTTGCCTCAGAATTTTGACTCCTGACTTCAGAGATTCTCAATGAGAGAGAAGAGCAGATGTGCAGAAAGAACAAAACCTAAAATCTGTCCTACCTCTAGTCCCTCTGGATTCTACTTATTGGAATGGGGCTTGTCACCTACCCCTGAAAGTTTTGCCTGCTTGGAGAGGGCAACAGGACGAAGAGAGTTTTCATCCATCATTTCATGTTGTGGCCAAAGTGGATTTTGCTTGCCTTTAGTGTTGGGGTTACATTTTCTGAACAGTTTAATTCTCCTCTGTTTTGCTGGTGACACCACAGGCAGCATTTGACCCTGGGCCTACATCGGCTCCACTTAACCAGCTGAGAAGGAGCCAGGTGCCAGGACAAATGTCTAGTGCTGCTGTGGTTGTCCAAAGTTGTTTTCAGTGCTTGCTTTCTGTCCAGTTCAGGTCTGTGGTGCCAGGGTTTGTCTTTTCCAGTGTACAGTTTCAGGTGTATTCTCAGCTCTCAGTCTGCCTTACTTGTTTGGTTCTGCCCTCTCTGTAAATCACACTGCTGCCACCCCTCCAAGCTGAACAGCAAGTAAGAACTATGCAAGCATTCCTTTCATGGACAAGTTCTCACATCTAAACATGGACTCTCTCCATCTGGTTTCAACACAAACCTGATCACACAGAATAGGACTAACAGAGTCCCCCACTAATGCTGTTTACTGCTGATTTCTCCTTGACTGGCAGACGTATGAATAGAGCTTGTGTCTGGTCCTCCTATCCATGAGAAAGTCTGGGAAAGCAATCACACTTGAACCCTCCCATATGCTTCTGGTCCTAGACCCCCCTTTAAAGCAAGGGCACACACATGCAGTTAGAGCTACAGCTATGGTGGAAAGGCCACATGGTTGCACAATGACCACCTTATTCAGAGTGGCCAAAAGTTTTCTAAAGCAGGTCTTTAACAGCAGTAGGATTTATAGGATGCAGGGCAATTCCAGTAGTAACAAGTGACACAGCACGGTGCTTTCTTCCTCACCCAATCTTCACATCAGGCAGCCAGCCAGACTCCCGATTTTGATATGGACCAATTCATTAAAACATTAAGCTTCCACTGGGAAGAAAAGCACTCAGCAAAGATTGCTGCTGTATCCTGCTCCACACTAGCAGCATGCTGGCAGCTCCAAGCTTCTCAGTTTAATTTTTCTGCAGGTTTTTTTTCCGCCACGCACCTCCCAGTCTCTAAGGGGTTTTGGAGGAGGGAAACAATTGCAAATATTTTTATTTCTGTAGGCTCCAGAACGAAATCCCCTAACAACTGCAAAGCTTCAAGCAAGACATCCCTCCCTCTGGAAGGTGGAAGGGGCTTTGACAGGCAGCAAAGGCCCACACATTTGCCTGTCTTGATTGCCATGAGAACAGATGCTATTTGCGTTACATCAGCCCAGCTCAGACTGTCAAACCCCAGCCAGAGTTGCCAAGTGTGAAATATTTCCTATGATACATGTTCAGTAGCCCTGTCAGGCTCTCCCTCAGCCTAACTGGATTCCAGCATGTACAAGATGTGCAACCTGTTAATGACTGCTGCTCACAGCCACCAGCATTGCTTCCAGTGCATGTCAGACCATGGGGCTTCCCCACCTCTTTTCAACCCACAGACCAACACTTGGAGCAGAAAGTGAGTGGCCCAATACTGGAACCAGCAGGACACCTACATCCTTCTCCTACATTACTTCCAAGCAGTAAGCTCCTACTGTCAGCTTGTAACAGAAAAGTCTGATCTCAGCCATTAGCAACATAACCTTGCATTTTGTACTGTTGTATTTCATCCCATTTCTCCTGTATTAGCCTTCAAAATTGCCTACCTCCTCGTATAGGATATCCCAGTCCTCCCCTGTATCGACAATGCCTCCAGTTTTGGATAAGCAGCCAATTTTATTAGCAAATCCATTTTGGCATGCCAAGATCATTAATAAAACCTGGGCCCAGGACCAGCCTCTGGGAAACTCTCGTAATTTCTTATAATTTCTGTACTTATCTCCATCTTAACTAATAACTCACCATGCGGCACTGTAGCAAATGGATTACTGGAGTCCAAAGCAATCAGTTTGACTACATTTAGTGTGACCTCCAACCTGGCAGCAGGGTAGAGGAGATCTTAGTGTGGAAAAGCATCCAAAATTCATTTCAGAAGTGCCTGGGGAGCTCTAGAAACATCCATCACAACCTACCCAATATTCCATGGATGCTTAATGTCAACAGTCAGAATTTGCATTTTACTTCACGTCAAAATTTGCTTGACATCATCTTGAAGCTACTAGGTCTTGTTACATCTTTGTCACTCCATCAAAGAACTCTTAATTCCTCTTCCCCAAGCAAAGCAAACAGTGAGCAGCTCACCCTTACATCTCCTCAGAGCTACACAAAATGGCTCACAGGGCATCCAGCACCCCCAGCTGCCCCGTGGATTTCCTGTTCCACACTCCATGTCCTGGGTGAGCTGCTAGCTGCCGTCCTCTGAGCTTGCAGTGCTCTCCCAGCCCAAGGCCCCCGAACGTGCAGGTAAGGGAAGGCTCCCTGCAGCTATGCCCAGTGTTTCCAGATGCCTCCAGCTGCACTGTTGCCTGCTGTTGCTGGACACCACCGCTCCAAGGGGCCACATGCCACCGGGGCCCCACCTCTCCCAGAGCACAAAGATCTTGCTTTATGCAAGAGGACTTGCTCCCACAGAGAGTTCTGCCCACATCCCACTTTGCTCACAGCCTCGCAGGAGCTGTCCCTGCCCCACTTTTCCAACGCGCCGCCAATCCTGGGACTGGCTAGCTCCTTCGGCAGCGCTGCCAGCGCTGCGAGCGGCTGCCATGGGTCGGGAAGGCACAAAGCCGCTGGCTCAGGGGCTGCCCCTCTGCTGGCTCCCGGAGAAGGGCTGCGTGCTGGGAGCAGGGTCCAGGTGATGCCAAGAGAAGAGCTCTCGCTGGTCTCCGGGGCAGCAGGCACGGGCCCAGCCCGCGGCACTGAGGCCGGTGCGGCCGCAGTGAGGGCACGCCCCGGGACAGAGACCCGAATGGGCCCGGGTTACGAATTACAACCCCATGCACGGCCGGTGCTTTGTCTCCCGCCTGTGGTCCTGGCCCGCTCCGAG